GTGTCCGGGAGCGGGTCGGTTCCCGGTTCCCGGGGCTGTGTGCTGCCAGCCCTGCCGTGGGTAACCCCGGCTCTGTTACGGTGTTGCTCGGGGGCCCCCAAAACCCCCCGCCGGTTCCCACCCCGCAGTCCCATCCCATCCACAGCCTGGGCTTTGCACCGGCCAAAATGTGCGGTCCCGGGGTCCCGGGCAGAGGCCGGTGTGTCCCCGGGGGCAGCGGCCCCTTCCCCTTCCGCAGGCCAGAGCCGAAGCCGCGTGTGGATCCACAAGAGCCATTCCTGGGGGTCGGGACAGGCTGCGACTGGATTTGGGCTCCTCGCACGGCGCGGCCGGGCCAGCTGGCCACGAAGGGAAAACTGGTCTGGGACATCGCTTCACTTATTTCTAAGAAATCAAGAACTGGCTCCTGTTCAGCTTGTGCAATTACAGAGGGAGCAGTACATCCTCCCTGCGCTTTTTAACCAGGCGAGCGCTGCTTTGCTACCGGCTCGTGCTGAGGTTTGTGGGGTGCCGCTTCAAATCCCAGCGATAAAATGACACCTGCGTGGGCAGGCGCGGCGTGGGGACTCGGATCTGCCAGCAGCATCTGCTGCTGCTGGTGCCCAGACAGGGTAAAAGCATAAAAACTGGGAATTGGCGATTCTCAGGGTGGACATCACCATTAGCAGCACCCCGAAATGTTGTAAAAGGGAGGAGAAAAGGGTCTTTGCCTTCTCCCCAACGGGTTAACACAGCTTTAGAAATTTCTGCTCTAATCACAGTTGTCACATTTGCAGAGCACCAGAGCTCTCCACCCCGGGTACGGGCTGGGGATAAGACAAAACAGGCATTAAAAATGTTACTCAGCACTTGGCCACCAAAGTTTTGAGGATTTTTGTGTTGCTCCCAGCTGTGCTGGGCAGGACCTGCTGTGCTGAATTGGGTTGATCTCAGCCACCGAAAATGAGCTGGGCTGAAGCTTTGCAAAGCTTTAGCTGTCTCCAAAGGCTAACTGGAATTGTCTCTCTCCGTCCCCAAGGGAAGGGGACCGTGTTTTATTTTATGTGCACGACCACTTGCTGCCACAAGCAAACATGAATCATAGCAAATGCTGTAAAGGGAGCTCGGCAGCAATGGGAAAGAAGGAAGGGAGGCATGTCACAGCGTGAGTTAAGGGGTGACGCCAGCTCTGGGAAGGTGCCTGGTGTCCCTGTGGCCATACACGGTGACATTAGAGGTGGTGGGGCTCTCGAGAAGGGGCCGGAGCCTCAGCTGGGCTGAGGCAGCTTCATCCTGCACTTGGCATCTCCCTCCTCCTGCCTGTCAGCACACACCCCTCAGCCCATGACTCAGCCTTCGCCCACGGGATGAGAATCTCTGCAAACCTCTCTCCCGTGTCAGCTGCACGAGATGGCCACAGTTACCCCTCGGTGCCTCCACGGGGGGTGGGAAGCCCCTCTCTGACCTCTTTGGGACCCCAGCGCTGGGAGAGGGTCTCTCCTCTCTCCCGGGTCTCCAGGTGCAGGGGCTGTGCGGCCACAGCAGGGCTTTCCACTCAAGAATGCTCCTGGGCGCCCAAACCCATCTAAAACCCAGGCCAGGCTCAGTGCAGGAGAGATCTCCAACCCTTCAGCCCCACCTAGAGTCTGGCCATGCTTAAGCTGGTCTCAACAGGAGCTGACACCCTGCCCGGCTCAGAAGGGGCTTCTTCCCTGACCCGCTGCAGGGACCTGGTGGCTTCTCCTCACTGACCCTGGAGCCACACGGGGGTCCCTGAAAAGCCAGGGAGAGGGAGATGCAGCAGGTAAAAAAATCGAGTCAGCAGCTCTACCCTGACCCAATACGGGGACAAGATGGGACAACACGGAGCCTTGCACAAGCGCACGCTCCCGGCTCGAGGAATAAGCTCCGTCCCTGCCGGATTTGCGAGTGTTGCGTACGTACGAGGATTAAGGTGCTGATCGAGGGCCACCCCACAATGGAACAGGAGCCTGACATGCTCTGAACCCACGTGCCATAACTCTCCTGGATGCCTCCATGAAAATAAAATGGCTTCTAGATGTTTGCCTCTCGCCAGGGCAGGACCTGGACCCTTGGACAGAAGGGATCACTGCACAAAAAGCAGTTCTGTTTCCTAGGGCTCTCACATCACCTCATGCAGAAGAGTCCAGGACCTTCCTTGCCTTTTTTTGCCCATTAAACCCCTATTTTTCTCCCTCTTCCTGCTCTGGATCGAAGGGGAATACACAATATACATTTAATGCCCCTGCCACACAGCCTGAACATCCTTCTTTCACCCCTTTTCTTGTCTCAAAGCACAGCACCCCAGTGCCAGCGCTCACCACCCTGACAGGAAACTGCAGATAAACTCGCAGCTCAGGAGAGAGCAGAAGGGAGGGCTCTTATCTCTGCTTAGCTTCCCTCCTCTGCACTGCCTTGTTACCATGACAAAACCTGCATTTTTTAAACACCACGCAGACACAGCTGATCTCACTGAGAAGCAACAAGAAGGGAGCAGTCACAGGGACCTTCACATGATGGCACGTTTTCAGCAGCTTCTCGCCAGCTGACATCAGGAGGGTCCTGCCGCTGCCGCTGGGGACGGTGGGACAGAGCAGGACCCAGCGGGATCCAAAGGAAGCGATTTTGGCTGCAGAACAGCACTTCTCCCCAGCCTGCAGCTTTCACCTCATGTGATCACATGCCCGTGTCCCTCTCACAAAGCAGAAAGGAATCTGCATATAGACAGAGACAATAAAAATCCCAGCCCACAAGTTCTGGCGAGGCTCTCTGCTCCCCAAGGAGCCCAGTTCAACTCTCCCCGTGCAGCAGGCGAGGGCCAGAAACCATCAGCTCGGAGCTACGGGAGTGCAGGGTGCTGGCGAGGCTGAGCAGTTCGTGCAGTTCCTCCAGCCCCTGGCCAAGAGCCCTTCTCCAGGTGCCTCCAGGGGCTTCTATCATACACAATCCCAGCAGAAAAATCCAAACATGCTCGCAGCAGCTCGTGGCCTCCCTACAGACATTCACTGTGGGGATCACGGGGAATAAAACTCTCCCTGTAACCTCACAGCTAACGTGGCCACCATGCAAACACTTGCGGCGACCAAGTGCTCAGCACCTTCTCTGCTGGAGTTCAGGGCAAGGGTTTCTCCCAGGTCCTTAATTGTAATCAGGGCACTTAGCAGAGCTGCGGCTGCAAAGGGGCCATCTTTAGGCTCAGCACGGCAAGAGCCACTGCCAAAAGACAGAAACTCCAGAGTAATGCAGGTGTTTGGAGCAGATGGCAAGGGACAGACTTACAGAAATAGAGAGTATGACCCCCCAGTGAGGTCCAGGGACAAGAACACCTCCAGGAAAGCAGCTCACATCCTCTTTCCATCATTCCGATTTCTTCCTGCAACCTCCACATTTGCCAGCTAGGGCTGGCACTGCTTTCTGTTGCACTTGGCCACTGACACAATTAAATGCCCTCAGCAGGAGTGAGAAGTCCTACGGCCATCTCCAGGGCTGGGCGGCACATAGCACCATGTCCCAGGCAACACCAAGGCCATCAGAAGCAGGGAAAGGGGGCAAAAAAGCCACAGAGACATAACTGTAATGCTATCACTGGACAGGAGGATAAAATACATGCACTTCCCTAAGAAAAGACAGAGTTAGTGAGAGGATGGACAGCTGTCCCATATCTCTCAGCTCTGGATCATTTCACCCCAACCACACAAAGAATTCGTGTGACTTGTCCTCTTGCAGTAGATCTAAGCAACGTGCCAGCTGGGCATGCGGTCCCAGCATCAGGAAACTGAAAATAAATATTTACTGAACTCCTAAGTGCTCTTTCCACACTTGCGAACAGACACTTCTATTTGCACTTCCCTGCACAAACAGACCAAAAGCCACAACTTTCGTGCTCACCCGACCAGAGTTTGCAGGCAACCTCCTAGAAACAAGCAGCAGAGAAACCAAAGGTGAGAAGAGGGACAACCCTGCTTGGGTTGATAAGCACCCACGGGGGCAGAGGTTCACCCGGAGGGGGTACCTACAGCCTAAGGGGGGGTCCCAACCCCACGCCCTGGAGCAGAGAGCCACCCCCATGTCCCAGCCTTACCAGGGATGAGCTGGCAGCGGCGGTTCAGGAAGGTCTGGGAGGCCATGTAGTCATAGTAGACAATGTTGAGCCCCACGCTGTGGTTCTCCAGCCAGCGCGCGAGGGCACGTCCGCGAGCGTAGACCTCCAGCGCCCGCAGGCGCAGCGTCCCGCGTAGCTCCAGCCGCACACGGCCGCGCAGGACCTCCCCGCTGCTGTAGGCACCGCACACTTGCCCGTCCTCCAGCTCCACCGACAGGCTCCTCACACGCCCCGGGGGCTGCATCGCTGGTGGCCCCACTGCTCCAGCAGCTCCAGGAGGCTGGTCGCTGCCTGGGCTGAGGTGAGCGGGACAGGCGGCTGCGCAGCCCTCTGGGGAGGGGAGGAAAGAGTAAAGGCTACGCTGAAACCCCCCTAATTTATCCCTGCCCCTAACTGGCCCAACCCTGCAGACTTAATCTTCCCCAGGGTTGGACCGAGACCCTGTTTTGCAGCGACGTTTTGGCGTTGACCTCACGCGCATGAAGGTTGATGCCGTGCCAAGGCTGGGGCCGCGGAGACGAGCAAAGTGTTTTTAAACCAATCGAGAAATACCGTGACTTCATCTTATCTCTGAGTCACAGACACTGTCGACGTGCAACTGGTACGTGCTGGTGGCTCCGTCGGCAGGGAGGGGTGTCACACACCACCAACCGTGCTGGCAGATTTCACAAAGCTGGGGGAACCGAAGGAAGGTTGTTTGGCCTTCCCAGTTCAGGCATTCCTGGGGCATTGCTGGAAGGGGTGGGAGACAAGTTTAGAAAGCAAAGACCCTTGTTTTCAGAAGCCAGTTTACTTTCTGTGTCTGAAGTTGCACCAAACTCCACATGAAAAAGAAAAGTGAATAACCACAGGGTCCTCCCACTGACAGCTCCCCAGCCAGCTGGTTCCACCAAAAGGGTGACGTCCATCATTTATCCCCAGTGAACCGTGTCTGTTTCTGCGGTTGCACGGGTGGCAATGCCACCTCAGGGTCATGTCAAAGTGATGGGACAGACTTGTAGCAGATGCAAGACCCTGTTACTACACCAAATGATGCAATCTAGGTGTTTGAATCGAGGGGTTTGCAACGTGCCAGCAGAAGATACCGCATTTGCAAGATGTGAGTACGTGGCTGGAGCGAAGACTGTCCCTCTCCCAAGAGACACGGAGTCCAATCCCAAGAGGAGAGCTCGAGGGCTTATGGGCCCAGCTCACACACAAACTGCAGCAATTGGAAATGGGTTAGTAACCCGTGCTCTGATGCTCTGGTGCTGGCTCAGGGCACATGTGAATCAAGCCCATCTGCATCGAAAGGCAGAGAAGAGCTTGTGAAGTGGCAGCAGTGACGAGGCGGCAGCTGACCCTGCTCACTCGGCCTCCCAAGGTGATGGGGCAGCCCAGCCCACTCTGATCCCTCTTTAAAATACCTACATCCCAAACAGAGATGGTGCAAGCTCAGCATTCAGGAAGCCCACGTGAGTTATCAACTCAACAAAAATACACAGCTCACCTCTAGGAAAACAGCCCACTCATCATAAGCTGGGGAGAGCTGCCTCTCTGCCCTAATGTTCACTGACCTTTGCTTTCAGGCCTTGACACCAAAATCCAAACAGATAATAAGGGAATATTCCAGCCCACACACAGCCCTGACAGAGCCTCTCACTTTGCTTCTGATCTCTTGCCCTTTCCCTGAGCTTCCCCCTACCCCATCTGCTTCCTCCTGCCCCAGCACCTGACTCAAAGCACTCAGTGGGTCTCGCAATCTAGAGACATGTGTCACCCATCTCTCGAGGCTAACCTCCCAGTGTTTATTCTTGCTGTCACAACACCTTCGTGTGTCCTCATTCAATCTGAGAAAGAAATGTTCCCTGTAATAACACACAGTTGGGCCAAGAGCAGGGCACCAGGACTGCTAACAGGTAACACAACATGTAGGTTGGGTAGCGAGGTCTGGGCGGTCACCAAAGGAAGGAGAACATCACGGGGTGAAGGTCACCTTCCCCTGGGGACAGTATCTTTCCAGGGGCCCCAGGGGGACATGGCTCATTGGAGAGTTTGCCTTTTGGATTTCCGCTGGGCCTCTGGACTTAGGTGTGAACTTCTCTTTCTGCTGGGTCCTGAAGAGGTTTTGCGCCCTCCAGGGTAGCCCCAGGTGGGAGCATTTGATCTGAGGAGAGAGAAAAGCTTTCAGCACGCGGAGCAGGGGAGGAGGCAGGTGGTAATGTGGAACCTGGCAGCTCCTACATCTGAGGGGTCACACCCCTAGGCCGCTGCAGTCTGTGCCAGCCTGCATCCTCTCTCTCTGGCAGATGCACAGAGTGGTGCAAAGAGATGTTTACCCTGGCTGGACACCTCTAGCCATGCCAGTCTTCCTCCTTTGATCCTCTGTGAGGAACCAGAATCACCTTCCCCCTCCCCACAATGCTTCTTGGCTTAGGGATTTGGTTCCCTGTTCTTCCTCTCTCTTCCAAGATTTTTCTCAGCTACAACTCTGCTCCCCACAGAGCACTGACTTGAGCCTGGAGGCAGACAGGATCTGACACATGGCTGTCCTGTCTCAAGTAGCTCAAGAGCACACACTAAAACTGATGATGTTAATGGGGAGGCTACAGCTTTGCTTGGTATAATCCCGCTTCCCCAAGCCACCCCGTGGTAAATCCAAGCCTATTAAGGCCGTACCTGCTGTACCATGTCTTCGGAGAGTCGTTGTTTCTGCTGTCTGTGTGGGACCAGCATGGCCTGTGTGGTTGTGAGACCAAACTTTCATCTGCTGACAGGTGGAATTGAAATAAAAATTAAATTCAAGCCAGCAAATTAGGAGGCAGCATCAGAAAAGCTTTGCAGTTTGACTTGCAGTCACAGAGCTGCATGCATTTCCATTAACGAGAGGAAAAGCCAGGCTTTGCCGTCAGCATTTTGCTGAAAACCTTTGCCCAGACAGAAAACAATTCTCAGGGTGAGGAGGCAAATGAAGAAACTCACATGGCAGTTACAGGAATATCACTCCATATGCTAGTTCTGGAGCTGGTCCAGAAGCTTGGGGCCAAGGAAAAGATCGATTCAGCTATGATCTGTTCCACATTTAGTAAAACAAATGGCTTAGAAACAGATACATGGCATGAAGGGGCCTCTCTCTTAGCTGCAGAGTACTGGCCATCAGAAACAGGAGGCAACGTCAGAGGAGGATTTTCTTAATGCCTTCCATGACCAGCTCTAACCACATCCCTTCCTGAGGTTGCATAAGCACAGCTTTTGATTGAAATCCTCTCCTTCTTCCCAAATACGAATGCAAAACAACTTCTAAAAACAAATATAGCAAGGGAGGAAGATCGAGCCACTGGTTCACGTTCCAGAAAATCTTTCACATCGCCTGGACACGCTGAACGTTGCTGCGTGATGGCAGTGAGTGCTATGGCTGGCACAGGCATCAGCGTGGTGGGTGAGATGGCACTTGGGGAGGTGAAATCCCTCCTGAGATTAGGAGCCGCTGTGGGACCAGCAGCAGCAGGCACGGGGCTGAGCACAGCTGTCCTGCGTGGTTTTGGGGTAACAGTCCCATTTTCCTGAAGACCTGCTGCTGCATTGGTGCCTTCCTGCCATCTCCAACCCGTGATGTCTGAGCTGCCTCCTTTCCCAGAGCCCTGGGCACTGCTGCCCCTCACCCAGAGCCAGGAGAACCACCTCGGCGGGCACCCCAAGGGTCTGAGCAACGCGGCCTTATTGTGGTAGTGGAAGGGGATGTGGCTCCCGCGGTGGCTCCTGCTGTCTGCCATCACCCTCTGGCTCCGGAGGGCGGCTGATAGGCTGCCTGCTGCGTTGCGCTGAAGAAACAGGAGCCTGAACACTCATCCCCCAGGCAGAGGTTGCTTTGATGTTTCTGAAGTAGCAAGTCAGGCTTCCGTGTGAGGTTCTACCTGCCAGTCTGGAGAACACAAGAGCTGCTTTAACAGAAAGAGGCGGTAGCTGGGAAAGGCGCATCACACCCTGCACAGCCCCAAGTGCAGCACTGCCACACGCTGTGGGGAGAAGGGACAACCACATTGGCTGTAGGTGCCAGAGCAGCGTACGTAAAAGAAAAGAGGGTCCCCACCAGAGAAACATCTGCACAGCAAAGCTGGGAACAGACCTCTGGGTAGGAAGAGCTGTGTCATAGTGGTTCTTACCAACGCTTGGTTTCTCTCAGGGTCTTTATCACCTCTGGGGATGGATGAGGCATATTTGTTGGGATGAACAATATTTACAGGCTCTGGTGAAAGCAAAAGTGAAAGGTGTTAGAGCACTCTGGTCTCTGAACAATCTTTAGCTACAGCAGCTTCTCCTCCTGCAGTGGAGCACAGGAATCAATACAGCGATTTATCCTGCCAGCGAAGTGGAGCGAGAATGAACCTGGGCCTCATGGTGATGACACTGATGCTGAGTATGTCAAAACTATAAAACATTCAAAATATATAATTATATATCTAATGAATGCGTTATATCTTTATCTATAATTACATCACTAAAATCAACTGATAAAACCTACTGCTCAGCTCGTTATAAACCTCAGTAGTGGTCCGTACACGTTGCCTCTGTGTCACAGACTCCCCCTGCCTAGATCGTGCTCTGGGATGAGCTCTGATGTCAAGGTGGAGAATCGGGTGCAACCGTCCCCCAGCTGCATGTTCGTGCAGTCGATCTGGGAGGCAGCACGTTCCTTGTCATAGACTCTGCGAGATACCAGATAGGAGCAGCGTTCATCAGAAAGAACAGTTCCGGGAGATGCCCATCAGGCTCTCCTGCTGATACCTGGTGTCCTCTTGTCTGGGGCACTGTAGGCACTTTTCTGCTTGCACAAAGATCCACTGCTTCTGGGATCCCCAAATTTAATAGTAGACGTGTGCTGAAGGGAAGCCAAGAGAGCTACAGAACAGCCACTTAAAGCATAATCCCTTTGTTTCCCCTCTGTGTCCCTCCATCCATCTGTTTTTCACTGGCACAGATCCCGCCCCTTTCAGGACAGAATTCAACATGGGAACGTGCTGCCCTTTAGCTGTGTCTTGGTCCTCCCCAGAATCATGCTGTTACCTTTTCACTCAGCTTGGCGGGTGTACTCTGTTCACCCTTAAACTGTGCTTGATAAGAAGTGTGATCGCGGGACTGTCCGTCCCCTTTAATCGTAGGAACACATCCTGCCAAACAGCCAGAAGGGGAAACGAATGGTGTTATTTCTAAAAATGCTTTCTTTACCCTTGAAAGGAAATATTACTGATATCGAAGCTGCAATCTCGAGGCAGCTGCTCTTTTAGCATTTTAGTACCCCTGAATCCATTTCGTGTAATGAAACGGCAAAGCAGATGACACCAGATTGTGGTAAGGTGAGCTGCAACGCTCCAGAACATGGATGAGGTGCATCAGAAGCATGAAAACTCCAGCATGTGGGGATCCAGCAAGTGGAAAGGCAGCTGGAAAGGGTGCGCAGCAGAAGCTTGGTGAGTGGCT